CTAGAAAGACACTATTCTTTGAGACAACTACCTTCTGTTTCACTAAGATCCACATAAAACTCATGCCTTCATTTTATGCACCACAAACATGAACGGAGGATTGTACGCTTATTACAAGAAAACTTATTATTTTATGAAAATACAGACATCAGAAAGGCAGAAGTTCCTCAGGGTTCTTATTCCTAGGTAGCAAAAGGACGTTAAGAAGTATTTTTAACAAAGAAACAAACAAAAAGCATCAGTGTCTGATAAGGCAAAGTCCTCAAATTGTTAACTGAAACAAGAATAAAACTTCATCCTCTCCTTTTTTATGTTATTTTTTTCAATCAAGAAAAACAAGACAGATTTATTTTTATTTACTGTCATCTCCTAGTTAAATGAAAGTGAAACTACCAAGCCTAAAATGGCAGGAAAACTTGTGAGGCAGACACAGAATAACAGAACAGCATTAATTTAGTAACTACTCATGAAACCTTCTTAATAGTCCCTAGTTCAGAAATGTCTCTAAATAGACTAGTGAGTTATGGAGAAGCCTGAAACACACAGCACGCTTGGGACAAATCTGAGTCAATACACCCTTCCAGAAGCCTAAACGTGAGTCCCGGATCATGTTAGGACATGCCACAGGACTGGATAAGCACTCCAAAGATGAGCAGTAAGATGCTAGCCTGGCTGCTTTGCAAATCTTTATCAACTTAACATGCATGGAAGATTTGGCACACCCTAATGTGCTCTATAATTAAAAGTTAGTTCAAAGGTACCTCAACATTTGGCTCTTTTTAGTAAGGAGTACCAACTTAAAAGCTCCTACTAACTTTGGAGGCCTAAGCACCAACTTAAAAGCTCTTAAGAGTTATAGAGGTCTGTATATACAAATATAGAGATAGTTTATCTTTGAGGGATTCAGTCTATTTTTTTTTTTTCTTCTGCTTTTGTCTTCTACTCTCCTTCAGACAGAGCGAAACTACAACTGAGCTAAGGGTGAGAAAACACATGTCTTAGAGGGAGCAAATAAAGTGCTCCCTTTCTCATTCACAGATACAAAAAGTACAATCCCAATGAAAAATAAACTTAACTTTTGAGAGAAGCCAGGTAAGAAGCAACAGCTAAGGGCAGTAATGGCCACTCCCCTAACAGCAGCTACCCAGGGAGAGCAGTCAGCTTCACTAGGGCCAATTCACTGAGATTCGGTCAAGCAAAAGCCTGGCAAATAGGAGCAGAGCACCTTAAGGAAGAAATCAGTAGCCCCTTTTCATTTTGATTGATTTTTCTGGAATTTTTCCTATATAAGGACCGTAATGCAACAAGCAACAATGAATAAAACTATGCCTTGAAGAGCGCATATTTACTATATAAGAAGAAAATAAGTGACCAGATGTAATATTACATGAGACAAAAGTCTTGCTCTGTCCATGTGAATTTTATTTCTAAGTCACTTCTTGATAGCTGATGCAAGTATAATCTTTAAAAAAAAAAAAAAAAAAAAAAAAAAAAAAAAAAAAAAGACCAACTATTAAGCACAGATCCTCAGAAGACCCTCTTCAGCAGCACAGAAATTTAAGTGGTAATACGCAATGGATAGTATAATTTTTGTATTATTGTAGAAGACACTGGCTGTATCTACTCTTGCATTATCATAATGCATCCAATAATAGCACAAGCAGAGCATATAAGCCATTATCACCCACCTCTTTTCAAAAGCAGCCTTACTTAAAGCAGATTAAAATGCCCAGGCCCCACATGACCATTTCCATTCCCAAACTGCAACAGAAACTGTGCAAGTTGCATCAAGGTCTTTTCGACTTGCACGTTTCACAATTAGAAGTGTTTCCTAAGGCAGGAAAATCCCCTCACCTCCCGCCTGCTAGTAAAGATCCTGTTTGAGACACGAGCCTATTCAGCACCAATATATTTTCAGCATCAAGCCATTTTCTACCAACAGCAAAATGGAAGAGTGCTCTGCATCCAGCACAGAGAGACAGGCCCATGCTTCCCAGGAGCCTCCAAACTTCCTGTCCCATATTCCATCCCTGCACACAGGACACATGCAAAAGTCTGGTCTTTTTTGTGCTATCAGTTTGAGGGAACAGTAAGTTCTGCAAAAATAGTTTTGTTTCTTTATAATCTTATACTCTGTATAGCACTAAATTAACTTTCTCATGCAGTTCATGGGTTAGAGGTTTTCTTGATCAACTACACGTTGGTTTTGGTTTTTTTTAAACAAAATTTGTCAGTTTGGCATATCAGATCCATTTAAAATACCAGCTGGTGTTCTGACAGAACATCAAGTTGTTTGTAAGAAAGGACTCTCTGCAGCTAATGTTCATCGAAACCTCCCAATTCCATTATTAATTATTTGTAGCCCCACTACCTACAGTCAAGTAAACAAAAATACAGTGTTTCCTAAGGTCAACTACTACAGCTATATGTAAATACACTGCTTCTGTTCATATGCATATACCATATCCTCTATTACAATCTTGAAAGTACTATTTTCTTTAATTCACAATAGGTCAGTACTTAATTAAAACGAACAATGTTTGTTAGTCCCCTACAAAATCACCTTAACACAGCAAGGCTTATAGCATGGGTAAATTTTTTTTAGAAAAAAAATAGCTGATAATCTATGCATAGAAAACACATTTTTTTTTTTTTAATGAGTCAAATTTGTAATTACTTATCAAGTTTAGGATTTGTATCTTGCAGCAACTTTTAAAACAGAGCTTTCCTCACAGGTACTGGCAGCTGCCTAAAATAAAACTGCAGTTTATTTTCCACTTGCCCTGTCTGGGCATTTCTGAAGAAGAAAAAAAAAAAATTAACATCGTGGCTTAAATCCAGCCCCTTTGATCGTGATAATAGCTCAAACCTGGGCAGTGTGCAACCCAGAGCAAGTCCTGCAGCCCAGTTGTCTTGGAGGAGTTATGAGGATCCTGTGTTCAGCACCCTGCAGTCTGCACTCACCTTCAAGCCTAGAACACAAGCACAGAGCGTGCCCGTGGCGCATCGCTGAATACACAAGTGAGTCACTGAGGCCCAGGATGAGAAATAATGCTGCTTTCAGAGCAAAAACTACTTTATTTAGTGTGTCCCATGCTCTATTCATTGGCCCTACCAACGGGTTATTTTCCAGCCAGTTTTCTCGCCCCTTGCGCTTTCAGGATGGCGGAGAAGCAGCACATGCTACCAGTCAGGACAAATGTGGGCCTGACGCTTGCAGCACCCTCAGAAAAGGTGACCGGCTGCAATGCTGAAACTTACTCCTTACATTATACAACGAATTACATCCATTCTGGCACCTACACAGCCAGTGCTCATCCCTAACGGTTTCTCCTTGCTCTTTTGGGTTCTACAGAGTCAAGTTTATGTTTTTATAGATTAAATATCAGCGTGCTTTTAGGAAAGCACCGCTGAAGTACAGTGATGCCCACCACATCCTCGAAGAGCTTTTAAACTGGATACCGGGCATTTCTGCTCAAATAAACCCCAAAGCCGAGGGGAGAGGGGGGCGACCGTTCTTTGTCCTGCCCCGACCCCCGTGCGGGCCGAGGCCCCACCCGCCGCCCCCGGGGCCGCCCCGAGGGTCTCCCTGCTGTCCGCCGGGGACGGCGCGGAGGACCCCCCGGGAGGAGCAGCGGGGCCCGCCATGACCTTGGGGCCGCCGCACCTGCCGCTGCCGCCGCCGCCGGTCACGTGGCCGCGCTCCCGGTGCGCAGGGACGCAGCATGGCCGTCGCGCCGGAGAGGGGGAAGCCCCGCCCCCCAGCGCCGGGCCCGCCGCGCGCGCTTCACCTCGCGCTGAGGTGAAGCGGGGGGGTGAAATGGGACCCCCCCGCCTCACGCGCCCCCCAGCTCCTCACCCGATCTCGTCGGCGCCTCCCACGCTGTTCATGGCGGCGGCTCCTCAGCAGGCCGCGCCCGGCTCTTCCTCCTCCTCCGGCGG